CCCAGGGCAGGGGCCTGACCGTGAGGAACAGTCACGCCACTGCCACGCCACTGATTACGGGGACAAATGCCGAGGGGCCTCTGGGCCCTTTCCGTGCTGACAGTGTCTCTGTACGGACCTGCCCAGCGCATGAGTGGAGAAGCCGTGGCTCACCTGCCCTGAGGCGGGTTCTGGCAGCCCTTCTGCCAGCGGGGCCTCCGTACTCCTCGCATTGTTTCTGAACCGGCCACGGGGCGCTAGCTGAACGTGCCCACGGAGGCGAGCAGGGACTGCTGCCGTCAGGCCCGCGCGTGGCCTGAGTGGCACCACGTGAGACCAGGCGGGCTGGAGTGTGTTAGAGGACACCGCGGCCCGACCCCTGGGGCAGTGCGAGAGCTGTGCAGTCCCCAGGTCAGACGCGAGGGTGGTGCTGTCACCGCAGACGCCCCACGGGGTCTGGAAGGGGTGTGAACACCTTATGTCGACAAAATGGACAGATCCTTGGAAGACAGGCTCCGAAGCTCAGTACGAGGTAACTCAGGTAGCTTACCCACAGGGACCCAGGACCAGACCTGCCTGGGCGTCCCTGACAACTAGGGAAGGAGTTGCCCGGGTGCCATGCACACCTTCCGGAAAAGTGGGGAGGGCCTGTCCCCCACTGTGCTCCTGCAGAACAGAAGGAGGGGACATCCCACACGAGTCGTGTCTCAAGGAAGGTCGATGTAAGTGCCCTCTTTAAAGTGGACCAGTGGGCCACGGAGCACCCTTGGGGGTGTTGGGGAGCCTGGCTCTGCCCGCGCCCCGTGTTCTCTCCCCCGACTTCCGCTGCGGTTCCTGTTGGGACCAGGGCAGCCCACGGCCCGCTGGCCGCCCAGCCTCGGTGTTGCTCGGGACCCTGACGAGGAAGCGCCTCTCCCGGGGGCTTCATGGGAGGAGCGTGAGCCTCACGCAAGGGCGAGGCGTGGGTGCTGGGGCAGCGTGCTCACCAAGGGACGTCGCCAGACTTAATTCTGAGTAAACGCAACCTTTCCGCACGCACGGGGATCATTTTATCTTACTATTTTCTTAAGTTTCATCAAATAACATCTAAGAATGCTGAAGCCCAGACAGGCAGGCGGGTCTGGGCTGTTTGCCGAGGCTCAGGGCTGCGTGGACGCCCTCGGAGGGGTTTAGCCCTAAGAACTCTTTATTGGTTTTCATGAAGTGTCTCGAGGAGTGAGGAGAGCAAACAGTGTCAGGACTAACCGGCAGGCCTGTCAGGGCGGGAGCCGAGGGCTCTGTCTGCCAAGGCCTGGCGGACTGGCCCAGGGCAGCCGCCTGTCCCCCAGCGGCCAGGGGGGCCAGGCCCGGGGCTGAGCTCAGAGGGGTGGGCTGGGGTCCTGAGTGCCCCCCCCCCCGGCACTGTCAGGCCACACTCTTGTCACCACGCACTGGGGAGACAGAGGACACAGCCACATCTCGGCCGCAGCCCCCACAGCCGCGCTGGCTGCTCCATGTCCTTCCCAGCAGACATGGGGGCAGCCAGCCACTGGGTTCTGGGGCACCACAGCCCGCTTGCCCAGACCTCGACCCCCGGGGAGATGCGTCCTGAGCCCACCTGCCACACGTGTGCACCCACCTGGCTGTGGTCCCGCCCGGTCCCAGCAGTGCGGCGTAGGGACGCTCTCTGCAGCGCCGCACCGCCCGGTGGCTATGGAGTGCATGTCCTGTGATTTCAAGTGCTGGCGGGCCCCGGCCTACTGAGTGCGGCTCCCGCCTGACACAGAAGCCACAGCTTTCGCCGCCTCCCGTGACAGGCGGTGAGGTTACAGCACGTCAGTGTGGTCCCAGCCCTTAGGGAGCCTGCTAGGGGAGGAGGGCCCGGCCCTGCCAGCCTGCCTTGTCATGGCCCTCTCCGGGGCCCGGGCTCCCCCCAGCGCTGACAGAAGCTGGAGCCGGACCGAGGAGCTGTGGCCAATGGCCTCAGGAGCAGCAGGCCCCCCACCCTGTGAACCTGCAGCTCCCTCAAAGCCAGGGAGTGAGCTGTGCGTGGGACAGGATCGACAGAGTGCCAGCCAGGAGTGCGAGGACAGGGCAGGGACAGGCTGCCTGGTGGCATGGTGGCCCCCAGCCACTGGCGCTGTCGGGGACTGGCTCTCTTGGTGGTGGGCTTGCAGGGACGCAGCAAGGCAGTGCGACCTGCGGCTGCGCGTGCTCACCGGGCAGAGACCTCGGCAGCCGGCCGTGGGGCCCTGGGGCTGCTCCTCCGGCATCTGATGGACGGCCCTGGGCTCCCCGAGCCTTTACAGGGGCGGCTGTAGCTTGTCCCCCCCCTTGAGCCCCCACTGCCATCTGGGCCATGCGGCTCATACCCAGGGTGGCTGGAGAACACAAGGCTGGGGTCATGGTGTGCTGGCCGTGCCACGGCTGACCCCCTGTGGAGACCAACCACCCAGCACCATCGAAGTTTCCTGGGCTCGCGGCACACCCGCTCTCTGGCATCTAGGGGGTTCAGTCCACCCCTCACTCCGAGCTCACCTTCAGTGTTTTCTGTAATTACTCCCGGCGGGGTAAGCCTCCTCGGCCACACGGTGGGTCTCCCGCCTACCCCTAGTGGGCGGCAGCAGGCCGGGCCCTCACCTGATGTAGCTGGCCACAGCAACCTGTGGGGTTGCCCCCAAGCATGTGGTAGACATTGAAGCTGGTGCCTCTTGTCATCCATAGCCCCCCAGCCCCGGGAGAGGGACGTGTCTCCCTTGCAGGGAAGGTAACATTTCATCACTGCGGAATGCCCCAGCCTGGGGTCCTCAGTACGCAGTGCAAGGCCCACCGCTGTCATACGGAGGACCTATGGTGGCATCTTACTGTCATATTCTGTTTTAGAGAGATTTTGCTATAGGGCGTGTGTACTTGCTGGAGAGACAGAGATCGACAGAGACAGAAAGCAAGAAATCACCTCCCGGGGGGATGGCCATGCCACAATCCCTTCTCTATTCTCTACTCTGGATTTTTGGCACGCACTCACATGCACCCTGCATTAGTTTTAAGCAGCCAGGTCCAGGACTTGAACTGCGGTCGGCCACGTGGGAGCCCAGTGATGCAACCATTATGCCCTCTGGTGGTCCCCACCATATTTAATTTTCAGTCAATAATATAAACTTTTTCTCAGGGTGTTTTATGATGTGACCAGTTCGGTCCATCTTCGGCTTTCCAAAGACATGCTAGGGGACGTCGGTACTGACAGCGCACCGATGGGGTGCACCAGCCAGGCTCTGCCGGGTCTCTTCTTCCTCCCTGACATTCACTGTGTCACCTGCTGGTTTCTTGGGGGACATCCAGAGTAAGGAAACTTTTCTGTTGGATACCTCCCCAAGCCAGACCCAAATCCCCTCCTGACAAACATGGAATTCACAGACAGCCCTGAAATCCCGTTCACCACTGATTTCTAGAGGAGAGGTCTGCAGTCCTGGGCGTGCGCGGGATGGCAGACTGTGTGGCCAGTCCTGGGTGTGCATGGGATGGCAGACTGCACGGGATGGCAGACCGCATGGCCAGTCCTGGGGATGCTGGCCAGGGGCTCCTGCCATGAGGCACAGCAATCTCCTGGCTGGGGGACAGCCTCCCCAGAATGCCCAAGATCCAGAAGTGTCCAAGCAGTCCAAGCTGGCACCTGCCCTGGAGTCTCAGTGCAGGAACTGTCCCAGGGTAGCCCTCCTGCCGCCCTGACGCTGCTGCAGGGTGGAAACCGGCCTCTTTCTTCCTTTCTCTCCACACCTGGGCGCTGGGGCCAAGAGCCTGGGTCCTAACCCATGACCCCCTTCCTCCCTCTGGGTGGGAAGTGGCCAGCAGCAGGGGAGTGGAGCCAGATGAGAGGTAAGGAGGGCGCCGACCTGGGGGGCTTATGATGACGCAGAAGCACCCAGCAGCCTGTCTGCCCGGAAGCACTGCCCCTCCCAGCACCCAGGGCGCCAGCCCGTTTGCAGAGCGACGTCCACACCCCTTCCGTCCTCTCCGTCGCCTTCCACACTCGCAGGTGCCAGGAGACTGCCAGATCCCTCCACCCCTCCCTGCTCTGAGGCCAGGCAGCCCTGGGTCCCGGTCTGGGCCCATCTGAGGAAGTGCCCAAATGGGAACACAGAAGCCCGGTCTTCCAGGATACCCGACTCTGTGGTCCCGGGCTCGGGTGACCCCGGAGCCCGGGCCGATGTGACCCTCTCCTGTTGGGCTGCGGGGCCTCTGCTGCACCCCTATCCGCCAGGAGCTCGCGACGCCTGGGGAGAGGCTGCAGCCCGGGCCGCCGGGTGTGCGCGGGGCGGCTGCGCGGTCAGGTCGCCGGGGTCCTTCTCGGTACCAGGCGCACACGCCAGGGACCACGGCTACCCGCACGGCTGGGGCTGGGGCTAAACATCAGGACGCACACTGGGGACCGCACCG